ACAGCCACTTAGGAAAACAGTGTGGAGGTATTCAAAAAATTAAAAACAGAGCTACCCTATGACCCAGCAATTGCACTCCTGGTTATTTACCCCAAAGACACAGATGTAGTGAAAAGAAGGGCCATATGCACCCCAATGATCATAACAGCAATGTCCGCAATAGCCAAATTGTGGAAACAGTCGAGATGCCCTTCAACAGACGAATGGATAAAAAAGATGTGGTCCATATATACAATGGAATATTACTCAGCTATCAGAAAAGATGAATATCCAACTTCTACATCAACATGGGTGGGACTGGAGATTATGCTAAGTGAAACAAGTCAAGCAGACAAAGTCAATTATATGGTTTCACTTATTTGTGGAACATAAGGAATAGCATGGAGGACATTAGGAGAAGGAAGGGAAAAATGAAGGGGGGGAAATTCAATGGGGAGACAAACCATGAGAGACTATGGACTCTGAGAAACAAACTGAGGGTTTTAGAGGGGAGGAGGGTGGGGGGATGGGTTAGCCCTGTGATGGGTATTAAGGAGGGCACATAATGCATGGAGCACTGGATGTTATATGGAAACAATGAAGAATGGATCACTAATCAAAAACTAATGATGCAGTGTATGGTGACTAACATAACATAATAAACTTAAATTAATATTAAAAAACTATATGCCAATAAATTAAGCAACCCAGAAGAAATGGATGCCTTCCTGGAAACATATAAACTACCAAGACTGAAACAGGAAGAAATTAACAACCTGAATAGGCCAATAACCAGTAACGAGATTGAAGCAGTGACCAAAAACCTACCAAAAAACAAGAGTCCAGGGCCTGATGGATTCCCTGGGGAATTCTACCAAACATTCAAAGAAGAAATAATGCCTATTCTCCTGAAGCTGTTTCAAAAAATAGAAAGAGAAGGAAAGCTTCCAGACTCATTCTATGAGGCCAGCATTACCTTAATCCCCAAACCAGGCAAAGACCCCATCAAAAAGGAGAATTTCAGACCAATATCCCTGATGAATATGGATTCCAAAATCCTCAACAAAATTCTAGCTAATAGGAGCCAACAATACATTAAAAGGATCATCCACCGCGACCAAGTTGTATTTATCCCCGGGATGCAAGGGTGGTTCAACAGTAGCAAATCAATCAGTGTGATAGAACACATTAAGGAGGAGAGAGAAGAACGAGATGGTCCTCTCAATTGATGCAGAAAAACATTTGACAAAATACAGCATCCTTTCCTGATTAAAACTCCTCAGACTAAGAGGACAGATCACAACCAACACCAAAGAAATACAAACAACTATAAGAATATATTATGAGAAACTATATGCCAGCAAATTAGATAATCTGTAAGAAATGGATGCATCCCTAGACATGTATCAACTACCAAAACTGAACCAGGAAGAAATAGAAAACTTGAACAGACCTATAACCACTAAGGAAATTGAAGCAGTCATCAAAAATCTCCCAACAAACAAAAGCCCAGGACCAGATGGCTTCCCAGGGGAATTCTACCAAACATTTCAAGAAGAATTAATACCTATTCTTCTGAAACTGTTCCAAAAAATAGAAATGGAAGGAAAACTTCCAAACTCGTTTTATGAGGCCACCATTACCTTGATCCCCAAACCAGACAAAGACCCTATCAAAAAGGAGAATGACAGACCAATATCCTTGATGAACATGGATGCAAAAATTCTCACCAAAATACTAGCCAATAGGATCCAACAGTACATTAAAAGGATTATTCACCACAGCCAAGTGGGATTTATCCCTAGGCTTCAAGGTTAGCTCAACATCTGCAAATCAATCAATGTGATACAATACATTAATAAAAGAAAGAACAAGAACAATATGATCCTTTCAGTAGATGCAGAAAAAGCAATTTGACAAAGTACAGCATCCTTTCTTGATCAAAACTCTTCAGAGTATAGGGATAGAGGTACATATCTCAATATCATAAAAGCCATCTATGAATATCCCACAGTGAATATCATTCTCAATGGGGAAAAACTGAGAGCTTTTCCTCTAAGGTCAGGAACGCGGCAGGGATGTCCACTATCACCACTGCTATTCAACATAGTACTAGAAGTCCTAGCCACAGCAATCAGACAACAAAAAGAAATAAAAGGCATCCAAATCACCAAAGAAGAAGTCAAACTCTCACTGTTTGCAGATTATATGATACTTTATGTGGAAAACCCAAAAGTCTCCACCCCAAAACTGCTCGAACTCATACAGGCATTCAGTAAAGTGGCAGGATATAAATTCAATGCACAGAAATCAGTGGCATTCCTATACACCAGCAACAAGACAGAAGAAAGAGAAATTAAGGAGTCAATCCCATTTACAATTGCACCCAAAACCACAAGATACCTAGGAATAAATCTAACCAAAGAGGCAAAGAATCTGTATGCAGAAAACTATAAAATACTCATGAGAGAAATTGAGGAAGACACAAAGAAATGGAAAAAAGTTCCATGCTCACAGATTGGAAGAACAAATATTGTGAAGATGACAATGCTACCTAGAGCAATCTACACATTTAATGTAATCCCTATCAAAATACCATCCACTTTTTTCAAAGAAATGGAACAAATAATCCTAAAATTTGTATGGAACCAGAAAAGACCCCAAATAGCCAGAGGAATGTTGAAAAAGAAAAACAAAGCTGGCAGCATCACAATTCCGGACTTCGAGCTCTATTACAAAGCTGTAATCCTCAAGACTGTATGGTACTGGCACAAAAACAGACACATAGATCAATGGAACAGAATAGAGAGCCCAGAAATGGACCCTCAACTCTATGCTCAACTAATCTTCAACAAAGCAGAAAAGAATATCCAATGGAAAAAAGTGTCTTCAACAAATGGTGTTGGGAAAATTGGACAGCCACATGCAGAAGAATGAAACTGGACTATGTCCTTACACCACACACAAAAATAGACTCAAAATGGTTGAAAGACCTCGATGTGAGACAGGAGTCCATCAAAATCCTAAAGGAGAACACAGGCAGCAACCTCTTCAACCTCAGCCGCAGCAACTTCTTCCTAGAAACATCGCCAAAGGCAAGGGAAGCAAGGGCAAAAATGAACTATTGGGACTTCATCAAGATAAAAGTCTTTTGCACAGCAAAAGAAACAGTCAACAAAACCAAAAGACAACCGACAGAATAGGAGAAGATATTTGTAAACGACATATCAGATAAAGGGCTAGTATCCAAAATCTATTAAGAACTTATCAAACTCAACACCCAAAGAACAAATGATCCAATCAAGAAATGGGCAGAAGACATGAACAGACATTTTTCCAAAGAAGACATCCAAATGGCCAACAGACACATGAAAAAATGTTCAACAGCGCTCGGCATCAGGGAAATCCAAATCAAAACCTCAATGAGATACCACCTCACACCAGTCAGAATGGCTAAAATTAACAAGTCAGGAAATGACAGATGTTGGAGGGGATGTGGAGAAAGGGGAACCCTCCTACACTGTTGGTAGGAATGCAAGCTAGTGCAGCCACTCTGGAAAACAGTACAGAGGTTCCTCAAAAAGTTGAAAATAGAGCTACCATTTGACCCAGCAATTGCACTCCTGGGTATTTACCCCAAAGACACAGATGTAGTGAAAAGAAGGGCCATATGCACCCCAATGTTCATAGCAGCAATGTCTGCAACAGCCAAACTGTGGAAAGTGCTGAGATGCCCTTCAACAGATGAATGGATAAAGAAGATGTGGTCCATTTATACAATGGAATATTACTCAGCCATCAGAAAGGATGAATACTCAACTTTTACATCAACATGGATGGGATTGGAGGAGATTATGCTGAGTGAAATAAGTCAAGCAGACAAAGTCAATTATCATATGGTTTCACTTACTTTTGGAACATAAGGAATAGCATGAAGGACATTAGGAGAAGGAAGGGAAAAATGAAAGGGGGGAATCGGAGGGGGAGACGAACCATGAGAGACTATGGACTCTGAGAAACAAACTGAGGGTTTTAGAGAGGAAGGAGGTGGGGGAATGGGTTAGCCCGGTGATGGGTATTAAGGAGGGAACATAATGCATGGAGCACTGGGTGTTATATGAAAATGATGAATCAGGGAACACTACATCAAAAACTAATGATGTACTATATAGAAACATAATAAAATAAGTCAAACTACCTCACTATGACTTACACAATGAAACATAATAAAATAAAATAAAATTTTAAAAAATAAAATAAAATACATATATATCATAAATCGTAATGTTAAATATTTAATATATAATACATATTAAATAATATAATATGATTATAATATATGTAAGTTATTGCTCTTGTTACACAAAAATATACAAAAGATATTGTATATAATTGCAGGTGGCTCACAGACCCCACCCCCAGGAATCCATAAATATCCTGGTGGCTCTGGATCTCAGATTCAGAACACCTGCTCTAAAGTATATAATTCCTCAGCAACCAAGCATGTTTAAAGGAAGAAACCCAGTTTGGACAGGGAGTTAGAGCATGAAGACCAATATGCCAAAGGTCTAGTAAGAAACAGGAAAACCAAAACCACAGCCAAAAAAGGTAGGAATTTCAGGGTAAAATGGATTCAGAACCAAGGATCCACTTAGAAGACCTGAGTCCTAAGCAGGAAAGCTAGATTTCTGAAATCCTCTACAAACAACAGTTTCTGATTTATACAGTCACTACCCTGTTCCAGACTCTCCTTATAAATGAATTCTCTGTTGTCAATGCACCAATTAAAAGTATAGTTGAACAAAGTATGTTCAGAGGGTGTCATTAACCCTAACCTGCACTAGAGGATGGGTCAGAATGGAGGCTGATCTGTGTTCCCAAGGACAGTCCTTGCAGTCTTCAGAGGAAGAAGACAAAAGTGACAAAGGGAGCATGGACACCAACCCCATCCTGGTGTGGGGTCCATGACATAGAAGGGAGCTGAACTGAGCCAGGGGAGGTAAGGAAACTGAGGAACATACCTGCATACAGCTGTGCCTTCCTCCAGGCTGAAAGGGAACACACCCTGGTTAGACCTGAGTCAGAACAAGCCTGCTCAGCATTGTTGGTGGGAATTTATCTACTGGCCCTTGCCTGCCCTCTGGAATACAGGTGACACTAACTGCAGAGTGGGGAGAGGCTGGAGAGGAGATGACCTCAGGCCACATGCTGACAGCAGGGTGTTGTGGGAAATTCTCTGGACCACAGGTCAGGAAGTCTGCCTTGCAGGCTGAGTTCCAACCCTGCCTGCTGATGCTACGTGTCCTTTGCCAAGTCAAGTAGTTCTCCCTGGCCTCAAAAAAACTCAAAAATTTTTATTCTATCTGTGGTCAATTTTACTACAATATATCAAAAATTATACAATGTGAGGCACCAGGGTGGCTCAGCCAGTTAAGCTCCCAACTCTTGATATTGGCTCAGATCATGATCTCAGGGTCATGAGACAAGCTCCGTATCAGGTTCTGCACTGAGCATGAAGCCTGCTTATTCTCTCTCCTTCTCCCCTGTGCCCCCCACCCGCCCCCCAACTGGCTCAGTCCACTCTCTCTCTCTCTCTGTCTCTCTCTCACTCTATCTCTCTCAAAAAGAGTGTAAAATATAATAATTTACATAAGAAAATTATACATTGTATGAAAATATTATAGGGATAAAATATACATTATTTGATATTTGTAAAAAATCATTACTACATCCAGTGATTTTGAGCATAGAGATATTTGAGAAATAACCCAAAAGGAGAGATGATTTCAGGCAGGGATTTGAGATGAACTCTAGGGTAAAAGTGGCCAATCTTTCTGAGATAACACAATCGCTATTTGGCGGCATTGACAGCTCATTCCACCACATTCTCACACATAGTCTGTCCAGACCTCTACCCATCAGTTTGTGATCACAACTTCCAGAAACTGGAGAGAACACACTCTCCCTAGTTGGTATTATATAGCTGAGGTCACACTCCTAACCTTAATGACCACATTAATTTATATAGTTCCTTTACTAAAATCTCAGAGCAGCTGGCTTTTGGATTCCAAGTGCTGACAGAACTAGTTGCACTGAAGGCTAAAAAGTTAGCAATATGGCAGGTAGGTCAGCACTGGAATAAACCCAAGACGCACGACAGACTCCAGGGACCACCATCACCCTCAGGTTCTCAAGCACTGGGTGGGAAACAGTGGCCCAGATTGAGGAAAGCTCAAGGAACAGGGTTCTGCTTCCCACCAGCTTCCACTTCTGCCCCAGGGAAGGGTCCTCAGTCCCTGCCTGAAACAAGGAGAGGGGACACCTTGACTTAGGTGGAACAAGAGACCCAAGGACATCTGGACAGTCACTCACCAGCCAGGTAAACAGATTTCCTCCAGTCTGAAAGGCAACACAGGAAACAGGTGAGCTAAGAACCAGAACCTCTCCTACAAAGAAGACACAGAAAGTTCTAGAGGAAAAGCAGAACTTACCAAGATCCGCTTGGAGTTCATCTGAAAGAGAGTGAGAAGTAAACATGAACTCCCATGTCTAAGAACAGCAAAGATTGCACCTGACAAACCCACAAATGCTCATCTCAGTACCCTAGAAGTTATACCCTAGATCCATTGAGCCTCCACAGCTCCAGCTGTCCTCTCTGGACCTCGTCAGCCACCCAGTCCAGGGCAAGGGTCCTCTGTCCACTTTTCCTCTGCACCAGCTGCCACACTCACAGGCCTTGGCCACTGTCCTGCCTTACCTCTGGCCTTCAGTGCCTCCTCCTTTGCCCACTGGTCCTCCTCCTTTTCCCTGTGGAGTTTCTCCCATTCCTGCATCTCCTGGCACTTTGCAGTATGTTCTCTCTTGGTGTAGTAGGCAGTCCCAAGGAGTAAGAGCATCAGCAAGGTCAGGATCGCCACGAAAGCTGACATCCAGGGAGAAGTCCGGGGAAAGAAGTCCTCTGTGTCCGGTCAAACACACAGTCAGGGTCACAGCCCAGGACAGCCCACCCAGCACACCCAGGGACTCCCACCCCCTCCCTATGGTCCTACTGGGAGAGGGAAACAGCACTGACCTGGGATGAAAATGGCCATCGCCTTCTCCTGGCTCAGGATTGGGTTGAGGAGGGAGCAGGTCACATTCCTTGAAGACCTGTGTTTCACCACCAGAGCAGCCTCCACACTGAACAGCCCTTCAGCATTTTGGACATGGGTCTCAGAGAACATCAGGAACTTCTCTTCACTGAGGGCTCTCCACTGCACCTGGGGCTTTGGGAACCACCCCGATGCCTTACACACCACTCGGACCCCGTCCTCCTCTGGCCCTGTGATGTGCACTTGAGGGGCAGAGCCCACACCTGCAAGAGAGAAGCTAGAGAGCACAGGGAGGCCACCCAGAGCCCAGGGATGCAAGCAGAGCCTTCCCATGCACAACTCCAAGGGCAACATTGCTTTCTGGAGGCCTCATTGAGGAGTGAACACAGCAGGGAGCAAAACAGGGGTCCTGCCACAGAAAATAGAAGGAAGGAGCATGGGGACCTGAGCACATACAGAGGGCAGGACCCTTCTCCCCAACCATGAGGGTGGGAAATCCATCCCCCAGAGTGACAGAAAGAGGAATTTGGTCTCAGGATCCATCCTTCTCTGCTCTTCTCACCTCACACGCTCTCCAGGGCATCTGCTTGCACACACACTGCCACTTGGTACATCACTTCCACCTTCAACAACCCTACCTACCTCCTGAGCTCCTTCCCTAATATCCACATCCCCGGGTTAGCCCTGCCAGGATTGCTCACAGATGTTTCAAACTCAAATCCTGAACTAATTCATGTTTGGCCCCATCTGTGATAGGCTGATGATGAAAATATTCCCAAATCCTTCGGCCTTCTTTACATCCAGCTCGCCCTCTGCCACATATTCTTAGTGACTTCACACTCTGCTTCTGGGCTCCATCCCGTGACTTGACTCAGCCACTGTTAGTTCAGGAAATGTGACTCTAGTGGAGGTTGGAAACTGCTTGTACCATTGCCTCACCCTCTGCCACGGGAGGGGCATGCTCAGGCTAGCGCAGCCTTTCCAGCTGCAGCTGTCCTAGACCAGCCAACAGCCAGATGAACAACAGCTCTGTGAGCAAACCAAGCCAAGGTCTACTGTTAGCACAAAATATATTAAAAGTAAGGGGCTTATTGTCCCTGTTGAAAATAAGGAAAGAGAGCCCCTTCCCATCCTTTTCTTATAGCATTTACTTGAGGAAACTTGTGGTTGTGGGTGCTTTCTTCCCTCTTTGAAATGTATATAAGTCCATTGAAAAACACAAATAGGCCCTTAGCCAGCTTTGTGATCCAGGAGTGTCTTTCCCAAGGACCTGGGAACCCTCTCTTTGAACTGCTCACACCAAGGAAGACAGCACACCTCTCTCCCCCTTCCTGTGCCAGGGTAGGAGCCTAACCTGAGTGGGCACCAGGATCCACGTGTAAGACCACCTCCTGTCATGAAGACTGAAAATGCATTTTTTTCAGGATGAAGCCAATTAGCTAACATGTATTGTCACCCAATTACCAAGTAAATCTAGGGTGATCTGTTTGTGACAGTTGGTGCTGTCATGTCCACTTACTTGAGAGCTAGTAACTGTACCCTGAGAATACGTGTGTTCATTTGTGTCTGCATGCCTATGAAAAAGGGTGATCTTCTTTGTCTTTGCATCTCTTCAAAGATTGTCTATGATACACATCACATTATGGTAAATCTAATTCTATAATAAAAGAGTTTTCTTTCCTGCTATTTTTGTGAAGATGATTTCTCAGCGATTTCCTTTTAATTGTATTTCCCCAACATGACCAAAGATGTATGAGCAAACCCAGTTAAATTCACCTAACACCCAAAATAAGTAAATGGCTATATGCCACTTAGATTTCTGTGGCTGTGTTACACAGCATCATGACAATTGGGAAATAACATATAATTATCAATATTTCTACTACTATTTAAAAAATAGTCAAAGAGAAACCTTAGGACTCTCCATAATCCCCTCTTCCTCATCCAAATTCTAGGTCCCCAAATCCACTGACTCACTTGAGTCTAATTTCCAAACCTCTCTGAAGCCAAATGTCTCCCACCCCACTGCCCCTACATGAAGTCAGACAGCCAACCTTCCACTGTGTACTATATCCATGCCTCCAGTCTTTCTCTCCTCCCATCCATCCTGCCTTGTGCTCTCAAAGCAAATTCCCCACCCCTGTACCAACCTGTTTAAAATTTCCTCACCTCCACATCCAAAACTCAGTATGCAGCACAAAGCCTTCTACTCTCTAACATCTTCCTCCACCTCCAACAAAGCTCCTGTCCATTTCTCCCCAATTTTCTCACCTATGCCCCTCAGCATTCTAGCCCCAGGACTTCATAACCACAATCACCATTCTCTCTGTGCCCCTGATAGTCCAGAACACAAACCAGAAAGGCCCTTTGGAAGAATCTGGTGATCCCAAGTACCTGTTCAAGTGTGTACTCCTCATGAACTTTCCTGCTCAATCCCTTCTCTGTGCACCTGAATCAGGAATACCTCTTTATTCTAGGATTATCCACTTGCTCCTATCCACTTGTATTACCAACCATGTGGCCTCCCTGTGTGCCCTAAAACACCAGCCACACTCCTACCTCAGTTCTTTCACATGGGCATTTCTCTGATTGGAACTCTCAACCCCAGATATCCATTTGGTTAAGTCCCTACTCATCACCATCTAACATCATCTATAACCCATCTTGTTTACATTTTTATTGCTTTTAGAAAATAAACTTTGCAGGGCAGGAACTTTGTTTGGTTCAGTGATGCCTCCAAGTGCCCAGAAGGGGAGTCAACACTTCATAGGGATTCTATATATTCACACTGAATTAATGAATAAGTGAAGACCCTCTTTTCCCTAATCTGTAAAATGAGGGCTGATTTACTTGGCCCCGAGTTTGTTCCCAACTCCAATACTACAGCACCCTAAATATAGATCAACAACCCACCTACTTACCACCTTCAGTTCCAAATTGGCAGATTCATAGAAGCTTCCCTTTCTGAAGAAGCAGGTATATAGGCCATCGTCAAAAGCCTGGACATTGTGGATGTGCAGGATGGCCTCCCCCCAGGTGAGGAATTCCTTCACCAGTGAGGTCCGCCCTGTGTACTGGGCCAACTGTTCCTCTCTCTGCTCCTGCTGGTTTTGATAGATGAACACAGCTTCTGTGAAATTTGAGTGGAACCACCGCAGCTCCATGTTCTCCACATTCATGGCCGGGGACACGCTACACGGCAGCGTGATGTTCCCACCCAGCACTGCCACAATGGGGTCCGAGGAGCCAATCACCACGAACTCCTCTGTGGACACAGACATAGGAGTGAGAAAGCTGGAGAGATGAAGGATAGGGGCAGGGAACACACTGTCAGGTGGGAGGCCCAGGCAGGAGGAGGTAAGTGTCAGGTAGGAGGCCCTGATCTGAGGGACTCAGCTGTGACCACTCTGAATCAGGGCAAGTTTGTGCTTTAACAACTTAGAGACCCAGCAATGATGTCAAAGAGACTCCCTCAGCAGCCTGTGCTCCTGGCTCCAGGTCCTCCATGAAGGACTCTCTAACTCAGTGGTTCTAACCTTCCACAGGTATCACAAACACCAGGAAAACTTGAGAAACACAAATTTCTGAGCTCCAACTCCAGAGCATCTGCTTCAGCAGTTTTCGGGTGGATCCAAGAATGTGCATTTCTAAGGAGGTAGTGGGGATGCTGATGCTGTGGTTCCAGGGACCACACTCTGAGATCCACAGCTCTAACCTGCCTCCTCTTAGGACAGGTCCAAAAACTGACCAAAGAGCACACCCTAGGCTTAGGTGGGAACTCTCTGCTTCTTGGAACATACCCAGGAACTTGCCCATGACCTCTCCTAAGTTTATTATGTCTGCCCATGTGTTTCTCCTCTGCTGAATTACATGTGCACTAATAACTAGAGCCCACAGCTATTTCTGTTAAAACCTGCCCCCACTCCATCAATCACAGGACCCAAATCACTACTTGTTACAAAGGAAGGTTCACTTCAGTGGCACACCCTTCACAGGCCTTGGTCTTCTGAGAACTGATGGGCATGTCACGACAGGACACTTCTGCAGAAAGACCCCAGCTGGACCTCAGAAGAGTGACATCTCACCTCCTGTGCTACTCAACTTCAGCTGAGTCACTATGTGTCTCACCTGTGGGATGACAGTGACTAGGCTCCCTGTGACTATTCTCTCCCCAACTATTCTCTCTCAACCTGTAAGCAAAACCATGTCCTTCCTCTGCTCAAAGCCCTACAATGGCTCCACAGTTCTCCCACGTGGCCTACGGGCCCTGTAGGGATGACACCCCACACACACACTGCTCTCTGACCCCTAAGGCTTGCTTCTCTCCCTCTCACTCACTCTGCTCCAGCCAACACTTACCTCCTTGGCTCCTTGAACACCCAGGCACACTGCTGGCTTTGCTCTGGCTGCTCCGCATGATAGAAAGCCTCAATCCAGGAGGATCCTCACAGGATGACACACAACCTCCACCAAATTTCATTCCCATCTCACTGCCTACACTGACCACCTTATGGAGCACCTTGTGGAGCCTGCCCACAGCCCTCCTGCACCCCTCACTTCCACACCCTGCTCTACTTCCTTGTCCCATGCTCTCCACTCCTGTAACAGACGTAGATCATATGGGGTTGTGGTATTTACTGCTCCCTGTCTCCTGCCAGAATGAGCTGTGTGAAGACAGATACTCTCTCATTTTGTACATAGAGTAGCACCTAACACACATTGGACACCCTGTCAGTATCTGTGCGTGTAACGAATTAATCACAGAATAAATGGTTAGATACCAATAGAGCCAGGAAACAAGAAATGAGGGGAAATTCGTTTTCACACTTTTCATAGAGAAATGCACAATTTTACTTTATAAGACATAAACTCCTCATTAGACAACTGTCATGGTCCCCTGTCCTTGTTTACAGTTTTGGAACTCTTCTTAAAAGTTTAATTATAATTAGCAGTTGGAGGATCACCAGAATCTCTCTAAAGCCAGGGCCTCCACCAATAGCCATCCATCCTGGAGACAGGGAGTAGTAAATACCACAACCCCATACTATCTACGTCTGTTAGAGGACTGGAGAGTGCAGTGGGGGTAGGTTTTAACAGTCTTGGGGTCTCTCACCCACCCCAGGGAGACACAGGAAGAGGGAGGGGGCACACTCACCTGCAGAACCCCCAGCGGGCAGCTGGAAGAGGAGAAGCAGGAAGGGGAGATGGGAGAGCAAAGAGCCCCTGCAGCAATCCTCCATTTCCTCGGAGCTGGGGAGACACAGGGCAGGAGGCAGGTGAACATCAATGGAAAGGAGGCAGGATGAGCCCACAGCTCTGGGCCTCAGAGCAGACAGCCAGGCTCAAGGCTATCAACAGTCCCCAGCAGGAACAGAGCATTTCCTACTGCTCATTATGCTGGGCAGGGTGGGGGGGTGCCGACCACAAACCTGATTCCAAGAAATCCCTCCCAGCCCTTTAGAAACTTTCCCAGGCTGCTCTGCCCACAGGACCAGACCTTCCCAGCTCAACACAGGGGTCTTCTCCATGTCTGCATGAGTCTCAGGCCACCACAGGGACACAAGGCCCAGACTCAGGGCCCTCCCCACGAAGGACACACCAGCTCCTTCATGGTGTTCTTCTGCTGCTCCCTAATTATGACCAGGGAATGACTGAGAAGCATGAGAGTCAGACTGTGTCCTCCTCAATGACACTGTGGCTCCCACCACATGCATGCTGTCCTGGGGTCCTTTGCTTGTTGAGTTCACCTGAATTTCAGGCCCCTCCCCACACCAGCCCTTTCTTCTCAGGACCAAGAACCTGGCCTTCCATACAGTCAGTGCCCAGTCAATACCCCATGATGAGATAATAATCTTCATCTTCTCTATCTCTGAGAAGTTTCTTCCTCAGGATAAAGGATCCCAGAGAGACAGAGCAGCAGAAGATAAAATGAGTCCTGGTCAGAAAAAAAGAGCTTCAAACCGGTTATACATGGATAGCAGCCAATGGTCCTGGGAAGGAAAGAAATTAGGGTTGACTGCTGACGTCTCCTCCACACTCAGCCACTTTCTGTGTGACTTTCTTAGGAAAGATTCTTAACCTGCTCTGCCTCAGCTCCTCATCTGCAAAATGGGAATAGTAACAGGATCTCACCCGAAGATATAAGGAGAATCCTAGAAATTTATTTATCAACAGTCAGTACATGTCATTAGAACTGTCCCTGGTCCTAATAATGCCACAGAAATGTCGTTAAATATGAGTAAAAGTGCAGCCCTCCCTGTAGTTGCCCTGGGTCTTCTCAGAGCCTCATTATTATCCAGCACCACCACCCCCAGTCCCACCACAACTTCAGCCTCCTCCTCTCAGCCAGCTGCTCCCAGCTTTCCTCTTCTTGGCCACAGATGTCTTCAGAACCCACTCACCTGCTTGAAAACATGACACTTCATAAGTGTCTCTAACTTAGCAGTGCAAGATCTTAGCCGACCCCAAATCTGTTTTCAGAAATTGCATCTGCAGTTCGCTGCTCAAGTCCCACACCCTGCTTCCAGACCCAACCCTGGTGCTACAGGCTCCTCTTGTCTGAGAGGCAAGTGGTTCCCAGGAGAGCAGAGAGGCAGAGCCTGAGACAGGTTGCAGGGGCCTGTCCCGAAACAGGGACCTGGGGCACTCAGCACTCCCAGACAGAAGAATCCACCTTATGCTGACTCCTTCCACCATTTGAAAGTGAAAACTTACAACAAGAACTCGCAGCAGACTCTGCTCTGCTCTCTGGACAGTGCACCCTAGTTATCAGGAAGGAAACAGCATGATCAGAGCCATGAAACAGGGCAGGGACAGGTACACTGACCCACTCTGCAGGAGGACACACAAGACACAGACTCAGCAACAATTTATTGAACAACTACTACTCTTCAGGTTGCCTGACTGTTTGCTACTAAGATGATACCATGTCTGTGGGTCTATCACAGGTGCAAGAGCCTTTGTGGAGCCACCAGCATAGCTGCTTTGCTTTTCTTCAGCAGGAGACCAACCACATCATCCCACAACCTGGCAACGGACAGTTTAATACTGGGCATCAGGATCTTTCAGGACCAGCTCCAGGAACCTGTCCCTGCAGAAGCAAATGCACAGTGCTGTGTGGCTTCTTAGTACTTTACTATCACACATGGCCTGAGTACACCATTCAGCCCCTCCCTGCCAGGCCACAGTGTGCACCAGGAAATGTGGACTCTATGGTCTCTGAAGGAAAACCATGGAGCACTAGGGCTTCTTCCCCAGCCCCTCCATTCCTGTAGTTCCCAATCTCAATAAAAGATACCTGGGTTCAGGCATTTATGTCTGCTAGAAAGTTGTAGGACATTCCTGACATTCTACTTTCTCACCCAGTCTACTTCCATTGTACTAGAAAGTTCAAGACTTCTCAAATCCATATTCACTGCCAGTACCTACCTACAATACACTCTTATTTCCTCCCTGATTCTAGAAGGGTGTCCCTGCTTCCCCATGAGTGTCTCCTGTCACCTCAAGCCTTACCTCCTCAAGTTCATTTTCACTCCAAGGTTATGACCTCTCAAATCAGCTTATGTCAGGTCACCTCATCCTTTCAGAGAATCCTCCTGCTAAACCTCTTGTCTATGACTCCCAGACCCCGGCTTCCTCTCTGACCTTCCATCACTTTCCCATTTACTCCCTCACTGGCCTGTTCAAGTTCCTCCAGTTCATGGAGCTTTCCCAGCCTCAGGCCTTCTCACAAGCCACTGAATGCTTCTCTCTCTCTCTCATCGCTCAAAGTGATCACCATTCCAGTCTCACCTAAAGTGACCTTCCTCAGAGGGGCCTTCACCAACCTGCTCATCCCCATATGTGCCCCATACACGTGCTTACTGGGGTTTTAGTGGCACCCTGTTCTCCTCCACAGCCCTGACATGCAGTCTTCTGTGGAATGTCTGTGGCATCCACAAAGGGAGGCACTGTGTGCCCTGTTCACGTGTCCAGCACACTGTAAACACTCAGGAAACTTTGCTTGAGCTCATGTGCAGAGGACTCACTTCAGCAGCACATTGGCTACTCAGCCCTGTCCAAATTCAGAAAACACTTCAGTCCACTGAGAAACAGGAAGACTGTTAACTCTGACCTAAACAAGTCAGCCCCTGGGTGGATACAACACCTCCACCATCTTCTCTGCTCTTTTTTTCTTCCTACCCCAAACATATATGCAACACTGAAGCATCACCAGAATAGACATTCAGATTTAACCACCTTACTTATGTTTGCTCCCTCAAGCCTGCCCAGTGCTCAGGTGTTCCTGTGTGACTGGTGTTAAGACACTAGTCTGGGCCAGCTCTTTGTGGCCACACTTCTGCCAGCTTCCTGTCATTACTGTCTTCATTCTACAGGTGAGGAAACCAAATCTCAGTTTCACAACCACACTCCCAGCAAAACCTCTCCCAGCCTGTGTTCACTCTCAATTGTTTTGAATGATCCACTATATTTATTTTCATGAAGCAAGGACTGACAGACCCATTGATGCCTGGGAGTGATTGGTTTCTGCTCAGATGTCTGGTCTGAGATATTACAAATATGAGCAAACCCAAAACATCTGGATATATCTGAACACATCCCATGCAGTCATCCCCAAAGGTCCATTCTGCCAATATCCACTTAGACTCAGAAGTATGGGGGGAAAGCATCTTAATTGAAAAATAATGATCTGTTCTACTGAAGCTGTTCCAAAAAATAGAAATGGAAGGAAAACTTCCAAACTCGTTCTATGAGGCCAGCATTACCCTGATCCCAAAACCAGACAAAGACACCATCAAAAAGGAGAATTATAGGCCAATATTCCTGATGAACATGGATGCCAAAATACTCAACAAGATCCTAGCCAATAAAATCCAACAGTAAATTAAAAGGATTGTGCACCATGACCAGGTGAGATTTATTCCTGGGATGCAAGGGTGGTTCAACATTCACAAATCAATCAATGAGATAGATCATATTAACAAAAGAAGAGACAAAAACCATATGATTCTCTCAATTGATGCAGAAAAAGCATTTGACAAAACACAGCGTTCTTTCTTGATTAAAACTCTTCAAAATATAGGGATAGAGTGAACATACCTCAATATCATCAAATCCACCTATGAAAAGCCCACAGTGAATATCATTCTGAATGCAGAAAAACTGAGAACTTTTTCTTTAAGGTCAGGAACCAACAGGGATGCCCACTCTCACCACTTTTGTTCAACATAGTACTAGAAGTCCTAGCTTCAGCAGTCAGACAACAAAAAGAAATAAAAGGCATTCAAATTGGCAAAGAAGAAGTCAAACTCTCTCTCTTTTCACAGATGACATGACACTTTATGTGGAAAACCCAAAAGACTACACCCCCAAATTATTAGAACTTATACAGAAATTCAGCAATGTGGCAGGATATAAAATCAATGCACAGAAATCAGTTGGATTTCTATACACTAACAATGTGACTGAAGAAAGAGAAATTAAGGAATCAATTCCATTTACAATTGCACCAAAATCCATAAGATACCTAAGAATAAATCTAATAAAAGAGGTAAAGGATCTACACTCTAGAAACTACAGAACACTCATGAAAGAAATTGAAGAAGACACAAAAAGATGGAAAAACATTCCATGTTCATGGATTGGAAGAATAAATATTGTGAAAATGTCTATGCTGCCGCGAGCAATCTACACTTTCAATGCAATCCCTATCAAAATACCATCGATATTTTTCACAGAACTGGAACAAACAATCCTAAAATTTGTATGGAACCAGAAAAGACCCCAAATAGCCAGGGAATTGTTGAAAAAGAAAACAAAAGCTGGGGGCATCAAAATGCCTGACTTCAAGCTATATTACAAAGCTATGATCATCAAGGCAGCATGGTATTGGCACAAAAAAGAGACACATAGATCGATGTAACAGAATAGAGAACCCAGAAATGGACCCTCAACTCTACGGTCAACTAATCCTTGATAAAGCAGGAAAAAAATGTGCAATGGAAAAAAGACAGTCTCTTCAATAAATGGTGCTGGGAAAATTGGACAGCTACATGCAGAAGAATGAAGCTGGACCATTCTCTTACACCATACACAAAGATAAACTCTAAATGAATGAAAGACCTCAATGTGAAATAGGAATCCATCAAAATCCTAGAGGAGAACATAGGCAGTAACTTCTTCAACATTTGCCACATCAACCTCTTTCAAGACATGTCTGTAAAGGCAAGAAAAACAAAAA